ATAAACTCATTATCTTGTACATATTAAAATCCGAGTTACATTGATTGCTCTTCCTTATCCGCCCTGAGCCAATTTCGCCGCCCGTTTTCCGACGAGCTACTCCGTGCGACGGAATAACGGCAGTTGTTACACAGTCTAGAGTTATAACGAAATACAGTGTAAAAACTGTAAGAACGCAACTCATACCCTGGAATTAGCGGTTGATGACGTATTAAAAAATAAGGAAGTAACACCAACAATAGAAAATACTCGACGCGTTTGTAAAAAGCTACGTGCACCAATAATATGAGGTTTTGAAAGCAATGCAGGAGAAGAAACCAATATTTGATTGTGTTACCAAATAGTATTCGACAGTTGATATTGTTGGATAAAACAATAAAATAATTTAATTTTTGAAAGACGCGGACTTCCGTTAGTGATGACACGGACTTGTGATTAGATGCGCACGCAACCGTAGTTTTTACTCATTGTACAAAGATATTCGAGAGACAGTCGCTAATCGAGAACCGTGTGATAAACTCACCTCCAATCGTTATATGTACGGGTTAAATGTACATATTTCATGCTCAATCACAAGAGGATTCGCCTCCTTTAATTTTGATTATTTTCTTTTATCACTGTATTTGCGATAACTCAATTTGTTCATGTTTATTGAATAAAACATTGGATTAGAGAATACATATACAATGATATTCAGTACTCACGTTCACGTGCTCCCGCCATCACCTCGCCTAATAAATCCCAACAGGTTGTGGGCCCAGCTCCGGAATATTAAAAGTGGAACATGGTAAAAGTGTTAAAATTAAAATTAAAAAGGAGGTGTCTTCTTTTGGACTGGAAGGATATTACTGCAAAAACTCTGATCACGTACAATAACGTGACGGAAAGATGGCAAAGGTCACTAATGAAGAGCTCTGATTGATCGACAAACTAAAGGACATGGAGAACTACCAAGTATGGAAATTCAAAATAACAGTCATGCTCAAATCGCATGATATCTACAAGACCGCCACGGAGGTAACAACTACGATGCAGCGTACGGCCAAATGGAAGAAAAGGATGCTCATACTCAGAAGGTAATTGTTACAACAATAGATCAAGGACCGTTAATGCATATTATAAATTACGAAACAAATGCGCAAGAAATGTGATCCAAATTACAAAACATTTACCAAAGAGATTCTGAACAACAAAAATGCAATTTGCTATAAGAATTTTTCAATTGCACATTAAATAAAAATATAGACATAGCGACTCAAATTTCTAAACTGCAAAATGTAGCACACAAACTAAAATCGTTAAAGGAAGACAGAAAGTATGGTGATATCTAAAATTCTATCCATGCTACTTGATTCTTATAAGCATTTTAGAACTGCATGGGATTTAGCAACTGCGGATTAAAAAACGTTGGAAAATTTAACCACAAGGCTTCTACAAAAAGAAGCTCAAGGAAATGCAGATAAGGAGACGCCAGTGGCATTCAAAGCTCAAGAAAAGAAATGTGACAGATGTAATAAGGTAAGCCATACGAGCAAAGATTGCAGATCAAAAATGAAGAAATGTTTTTCTTGCAATAAACCTGCTCATTATTCATCGAATTGTCCAGCAAAAGGTAATGGATGCACAATATGTAAAAAGAATAATCATGAAGATAAAGATTGTTATTTTCGGAAAAAGGAACGTAAAGGAAGGGAAGACAAAGTATTTTTTCTCGTAAAGGAAAACATAAATTGCACACGATGGAACATAGACTCACAAGATGCATCTCCCATGACGAACGATGAGACCTTGATAAGGAGCCTCGAACAAAAGGACACAAGGGTTGGAATAGCCAAAAACAACGAATCAATGCGTGGACATAAATTTGGCGTTGTCGAACTGCAAGAGTGAATACTGAAAGATGTAATGTACGTTCCAAATTAACGACAAATTTAATTTCAGTCCATGCAATAACCGAATAAGGTGGAGAAGTAGTATTTCCGAAGATGTTGATCAAGAAAAATAACGAATTACAATTAAAAGGGACTAAAAACAAGGATGGATTATATGAAATTACGTTACAGAAAGAAAACGCATCGAAAACACTCTTGGCAGACAACAAGACAGCAGACGCAACCTTTTGACATGGGAAACTGGGGCATCTGGGACCAGATAACATGAAAAAATTAATTAAAATCTCGAATGGGATAAATCTACGTATTGAGGATATTGAAAATTCGACAGAACTCTGTAAAGTATGTCTAAAATCTATAATATAACAATCTTTTATTTATTCCGACCAAAATTTTCTTTAGAACAATTTTGTAATGTGTATAATATTTGTATTACATTATGTTAACTTCTAGTACATTTTAATACAACTTAAATGTGTTTGTAATTTTATATTTTTGTACATGAATTTCATCCAGATGTTATGCTCTGTTACGATACAAGATGTTCCTAAAATGTTCGACTAAATTTTACCAAATTCTATTTCAGTGATTTTATTAGATTTTTACCTATTCATTCTATTCTACTCTCTCCGTACTGATAAGAACAGATTAAATTCGCACAATATTAGAGAATATAATATGTCGAAATTAGGAACACTCTAAATAAGATATGGTATATATTCAGCAGAAATGCGAATTTTATTCGATCGCATTTACACATGCATTTTCAATTATGCTAAGGTGTAAGCTCCATATATAACACATCTATTATCTTGATCAACTTATTGTGCATAATGATAATCAATCCGTTATCTCTTTCACACGTTTTCGACTCAGCCTTTTCTAATTGATGAACGTAACAAATTATGCTATAAATGCATTTGAAGAAAAGAAACTTTCTCAGTTGTGATGCAGTGATTCTAAGAATTAAATAAATTGGATTACACATATCTACAATCCGATAAATTTAATTAGATTAATTGATTATTTAATAGATTACAACATTATATGTATAAGTTGTCTCCAAAAAGATATAGTTGTAAAATAATAAATAAGTTGTCTCGTAGAATCACTGCGTTGCAATTGAAAATGGTGTGGTTTCTACTCATGATTAAGAAAAAAATAATGGAATTTCTTACTTCGATCGTTATCTTATCAAACTGAAAATGACAATTCTAAAATGCATTCTGAGAATTCCTACAAGGACAATCCTCCATATAGAACAGCAGACAATAAATGATCAAGGGAATTCGATAAATAATTCAAATGGAATTGGAAAACTCACTTGAATTTAAGGAAGAAGAAAAAAGAAAAAGAAATTGATAGAGTAGATAAAATATTTTTATATGGATTCTCGGTCACACGAATAAATTTCATTCGACGGATTGTTTCGCGCATATATCGTACCGTTTAGATTTCAAGTGATCTCTTTTAAAAATATTCACGCATTAGTATTATACATTATACATAAGATTTAAATATGCGCATTCATTTCTACATAAAAATGATACAAGCCTTTAAAGTATAAGGTATTATACATAAAAAAAAGAGGCAATTAAAGGAATCACTACGTGAGAAAATTGCGAGTGAATTATTAGATGGAAATAAAACTGCCAATGATTGGCGCAATGAAGAAGCTACTAGATTAATGACGTTTGGTGTAATTAATAACGTTCCACCGATTTTATACGATGCAACGGTTTTACGAAAGGCTAAGCAAATGGAATCGGAGAAGCGTCTAGAGTTGCATAATGACAAGGATCTCATAAAAAATATACAGATTGCTAAATACATGAAATTTCATTCGACTGTACATAATACAGGAATGGACCCATTTTATTGCATGTATTGGAGTCGAGAGCAATTAGTTATGTATAAAAAAAGCTCATCAACAAGACGTCAATTGCTTTGAAGCTCTAGACGCTACCGGAAGTATAGAAAAGAAATTACGCCTCCCCAATGGCGAACTATAGTCACATGTATTTTTGTACGAATTAATGTGCATTTCTAATCTTGGCAACTTTCCTAGCTTTCAAATGATATCTACAAAGCAAGATGCATCGATAATAAGCTACTTTTTATCCGAAATTGTCAGAGATGGTGCTTCAACACCTCGCACTGTTGTAACAGACTTTAGCAAAGCACTTTTAATCGCAATTGCACGTATATTTGCAA